GGGCTCAGTGCTAGGCCCCTTACATTTTCTCATATTCATCAACGATCTTGCACAGGATCTTCAAAATCCGTGCTTCGTGTTTGCTGGTGATGTCAAAATGACTGGGTTAAACCTGCAACGGGACCTGAACGTAGTCCCTCGTTGGTCGGTCAAGTGGGAACTACCTTTTAATCTATACAAGTGCCGGTTCTTAGCAACGAGAACGGGGGTATACTCGTTGAATGGAGCTCCCATGCAGCAGGCCCCGCAGATGAAAGATCTCGGGGTTTTTATGACCCAGGATTTTAAACCATCAACCCAGTGCTCCAATGCTACAAATCAGGCTAGGGGGCAGCTGTTCAAGTTGTGTGCTACAGTAACATGCAGACGGCCTGTAGTTTTTGTTTCCCACATGGAATATTGTGTGCAGACATGGGCACCGTATTACAGGAGGGATGTATCATGTTTAGAAAGAGTGCAGCGCCTAGCTACCCGAATGATGGCTGGGCAAAAGGGGAAGAGCTATGCGCAGCGGCTGAGAAATCTTTATCTCTTTTCGCTGCATCGTAGAGGAGTGAAGAGAGATCTGATAGAGACTTTTAAAATTGTAAGAGGTCCATCGGGACTCAACCTAGATGACTTGTTTACGATTGCTCGTGCTCAAAACACGAGAGGTCATAACTATAAACTTCAACAGAACCACGCCAGGTTGAAAGTACGGGCCAACTTCTTCGCACACAGGGTGATACCTATGTGGAACAGGTTACCTGCAGAAATGGTCAACTGCGCCAATGTTAACGCCTTCAAGGTAGCCCTGGACGCATGTTGGTCAGCACTGTTACCCGAAGTTAACATTTAAAGTGAGAACATCAAGAATGAATTCCACTTTAGCCGGAGTTTTGTGAAATTGAGTAACCTCCGGCTTGATTGTTGGAATCATTCTCAAACTGATTGTCCTGTCTCATGTGAGCTGTGTATACGAACACATGTGTACTTGAGGTGTCTAACAAATGAGGCGAGGAGATATCCTTGCTTGTTTTCCTCCCTTTCAGCATACCCCCAAGGAGTCAACGTTTTGTCAACGGGGCTAAATTGAGAGGACCACAAACACCTAATAAACTGTACGCAGTGTTGGAAGCTACTATCATCCACCGACAACGCAACGAACTGAACGCTCGATTGGCAAGAGCCATATTCGTCCTGTGAAAACTGAGCCGAACTGCGGTACTTTGGCGCGCGGGTGAAATTTTGGACGTGCTCTGATTCGTTTATTGTGTCGATCGTAAAAGTAGAGTGCGATTACCATAAATTGACACTTTATTATGTTTTACACTTGAGTCCTTCGAGTTTTTGACCGTAGTTATTTATAGTGCTCTGTCAAAGAGCACTTAACAGCGTGGACCATTACTCCGTACATAGCTATTTGGTTTGGTTAATTTGGATTCGTGCAACGCTTTTACGTGTCGTACACACCCTTCGTTTTCCATATCACTGGTAGGCATTTTTTGAACACCTGTACTAAAACTTACGCGCGTTTCCTATCCATGTTTGAAGGATAGTTGCGGGAAGAAAGTGGTCAAGGGAATCGAATGCGAAACCTGCAAAAGGTGGGCACATTCTGGTTGTTCAGGTATTAGCAAAGACCACTATGCATTCTTCTGCGCAAATAGCTGGGTAGAGTGGATATGTGAGCAGTGTAAGGACGCGGCAAGGTCTGCGTTCGCGACGCGGAAATCTGAGGCCAGAAGTAAACCGAGCAGTGAGCGTCCTGAGAGCCCAAAAACGTCGGAACCACCCAGAGGAACCTTGAGCACTTACGCTCAGGTAGCTTGAAGTCAAGAAAAGAGTAAACCGCAGGGAGAGTTCTTGGCAGACAGTTTTGCCGAAGACTTAGGAGGCAGCAGCGGTATCCACACCGTTACAAAAGCCGCTACCTGTGGTCAACCCCAAGGTACGTCAGGAGTAAACCGGCCCAAGCCATACCACGAATCCAAACCTGGAGCGGGTAGAAATATAGTCTCACGTGGGAAGAGAGAGTAGTTAGAAGAAGAGCTCCAGGAGCTAAAGAGGCAAGTGAGTACCCTCCTTGCAATAATTATCCCCAAAGATTAACTTCGTAGAAACCTCCTTATACTTAACAACGAGGAGCCGAATATAAGCGAATCAAAGACCCGTAGGGAAATGGACAGGCGTAGAGTCCATAACATACTCAGGTTAGCTGGAGCTGTACCAAACTTGAAAATTAGGAAAGTACACCGGGTCGGGAGGTGGAAAACACCNAAGCAACACAGGCACCAGCTAGACCCATACTGGTGGAGTTTGCCAGACCGCTAGATAGGGATATGCTACTATCCTGGGCAGACTTAGTTTGGAGTGCCACTAAATGGCGTTATAAAATAGCCCACGAAGAACCCAGAGTCAGGGAAATAAATAGAAAACCGTCAACTTACATGACGAGAAGAGAACGTTTTGGGGACAATGAAGCTGCCCAGGGCACCACATACCCGAACCAGTTTTAAGCCCTTTAAGTCCACAGACAGGACAGGAAAAGGGGTACACTGAGGGATGGTGTAGCAGTCCTAGTCAGACAGGATATATCCCATCACGAAGATAAAATAGCGCAGTGAACCTGAAATGTTCAGGTGTGTTCAGTTTCGTTGGTTCTACCTTCGAGGAGGATTAGCATATCAGGAGTCTACAGAAGCCCGGAATGCACACCCGAGGAGGACCAAGCAACCCTATGCACCCTAGATAGCTTGTACAGACACTCACAAGGAGTTTGTATATTGGGAGATTTCCATTTCCCAAAAATCTATTGCGAGGCTGAGCGGTCACCAACAGGAACAGCGGAGAGCGCATCCTTATAATGAATGCACTCGAGGGTCCTACAGCAATACGTCCGAGAGTGCACTAGGTACAGAGA